TATCTGGATGCCAAATTTTTAGACCTGACTCATGCTTCCACAACCTAGGCGGTAGGTGATCTTTACATTCTGTTCAAGTTGCATGAAGATTTGAAGGTTTTTCTTCTGGGCTTGCCTTATGGACCTTGTATGTATTGGTCCGTGCCAAATTACGAGTATTTTCTTAGAAAACAGCAAATGGAATTCGCAGGTTTGCATTTTCACAGTCCTTAAGGTGGAGAGTCAGCTCACCATTAAGTCACAATGCGTCAACATCGATGATATTTGTTTCTTGTACAGCCGTTGAAAGAACTCATCCGGGGGATTTATTGCTGAACGGCGAAAGAGGAAAGAATTCAGCTTCTATGATTCCTCGACAAAACATTGTGTGATTATATTATACCTGACCATATCACAGCTCATACAGCTGATTATAGGCCTATTGCGGACATGATTATGAATGGCGATACAAATTACAGTCACTGATTTTCCACTTGATAAATATAAAATTAGAGTCATGAATATAAATGTTTATTTTATGAATTAAAGGATTTTAGGGATCGATGAGAAAAACTGCTAGGTAGTTATATTAGTCTGCATATGCCTGTGATACAGCATAAACAATGCCGTTGTTACTGCGACCAGAATTACTACCTAGCGGAAAGTGACATCAATAATAATGTCAGAAACAGTGCAGTTTCAAGTTAGGTACTAGGCCTAGGCTCTTTGAAACCAATTTCTGTTCCAAGCGGCTTAGCAAGGCTGCGGAAAGAAGGTAGCAGATTAAAAGTCAGTCCGTTTGTCTAAGCGGGTAAGCCGTCACACATCATAACTTTCCACAGTAGCTAGCAATATTAAGATAAGTTTTGCACCGTTTCAACCATTGTGTATGCCGTACACTGCAACATGTATTGACTTTTGATAGCGATAGCAACATCGTTCACATAAACAAATACAAGCTTCATGCCTTGAAATGGACCATAGTTAAAAACTATTCAATTCAACGCGGTTTAAAATAAGCCGCAAGCCTGGCCTCTTAGCAGCTATCCTGCCTCAGAACCATCAAAAATAATTTCTAGTAAACACGCATTAAACTGTAACAAGCTAAGGATCTTAAAATAGCCATTAACGTGGTACTCAGGGAACGAGTTTATTGAAGCACGTTTAACAAATGCTCGACCCGCGGTGTGTTGTAGTCGTGGACTTAGGCTTGAAATGATTAATTTCGTCTCTCTAAGACAGCTCACTTCAG